TTTGACAATACAAGCAAGTTCATGTGGTAATAATTAAATTTTCGTTGTGTTCATGGAAATTCCTGCATTCTGATTAGCTGAATTGGTCACGTGTTATTGCATTCATTTCCCAATGAATGTAAAAAATTAAGCCACGCCCACCGCGGCGCACTACTTTTATTACTGCGGAATGTCGGGGAATCCCAATATTACAGTCGAGGGAATTCCCTTTCTGCAGACGTGTATCGTCATGCACAGGACATTTAGCGACTTTCATGCATATTCATTTTCCAAACAACCGTTTGAAACCGAAAACGAATGAAACAGCAAACGTGCAGGCTCTCTCGCCTGTTTTTTCCCCGCTCGTCTCGGTTCAACTTTCATGTCTTCGGGTTTCATTTCTAACTAGCATTTCTCTAACTGAGTTTTACCGTAATCAGGGAAGTAATGTTTGAATCACGCAGTAAATGACCATGTTATTTGAAACAGCCGCCTTCTCTCGGTCGACATATTTCTTCCGGTTCGTTACAGTCTGACTGTTGCAGTTCTTTTTGCCTCTTGCCTTAATTGACAGGTCTAATGAACATTGTTTTAATCCCACTCTCCGTTGATTGGCTACTGACTGTGTAGGCGTGTCAAGTTATGTGCATAAATTAAACGATCACCTGATTCATGTCACGCCACTGTATATATTCCTACACCTGGAATGTTTATCAATGTCGTCATTTTTGTCTGTTTTGATATATGCAACTGTTTGGGGTTAAACTGTTGTAGATAAAACATGTTTAACGTTGTCGAATTTAATTATAAGCATTGACTGTATATTTTTTTCGGTTCATTGAGGTATGAATCGAAAAACCGATGTGCAAACTTTTGTAAGAATCCGCTACGCGGATTCATACAGTTTGCACATCGGTTTTTCGATTCATACCTCAATGAACCGAAAAAAATACGCAGTCAATCCTTAAATAATTTTTTTATTTGAAGTTAACACGATATACGGCTTTTCCATTGGACGAGAGGTCGGTCACATGACCGCGAAATTGACGTTCATAAGTGTATGAACGACACTTTGACGTTCATAAGTTTTTCACGAGACCGTGTTCTTGAAATGACGTAAACACTGACGGACTACTTCCACATTCCTGGGGAAACCCCTGGGAATTCCCTAGCACGAAAACATGCATAAGCGTTCTTTCTGATCATTTAGAACCTTTATTCTGGGTCTCAGCGTTTTCAGTATACTTTGAGAAATGTCAGAGAGCGTGACTGCATGATTGTTCACGAATATCCTCGCTACGGCCCATCCTAATGAACAAACGAAGAAATGCACATCTAAACTATCGTAGTATCGACTCGATCCGTGCCTAGGCTGACATTGACCGCCTCCAGCAATCTATGAATTTACCTTTGTGTCTGTTTGACGCATCTTTATTCAACTTTCAATGATCGGCCAGTTGATCAATGATGACTAACACATGTAACCGCCAAAGGTTCATCAACAACTTCGGAAATCTCTCCCGTCACGTTTATCGTGTCGGCCATTTTGACGTCTTGTACTTGATGTAAATGTATTACGACGCGCTGTCATTGTGACTGACTTACTGAGGTAGTTCTTTACAGACCTTTCTCATCTAATGAGGATATGATTTGAACACATGTGCTGCGTAAGATGTTTCTGGAGAGCAAGTTGTGCATTCATACGCCCATGTCACCTCTCTTTTTGAGGAACTATTTTACTCCGCGATATAGCTGGTTGTTGTATGGCTGTCAGTGTAAACATGAAGTCACACGTACTAAATAAAATTGTGTTTAGATCTAGGCCTACATCTTTTGAGGTAAGAAATTGTGATAAAAAAATTATAAGAATTGACCTTCACTTTGTGTGAGTTCATTGGAGTATGAACCTTCATAGAGTGAGGGCCTAACATTGTATGAACGTCGTCGCAAGCTCCGACGTTCATACAGTTTGGCCCTCACTCTATGAAGGTTCATACTCCAATGAACTCACACAAAGTGAAGGTCAATTCTTAAATGTGATGTCGTATCTTTGTGTATATTTTAGATATTCTTGTTGTAATGCTGATGTGGATAGATTATGTCAATCTTAAGAATGTTCTTTACATTGGAATATGCATTGGAACTAACGTAATACATATATTGTGTGAATGCCCACTCGGAAAATGTATTTAATTTGACTGTGTCGCGTGCACTATATGAGTACCATTCAATCACGTGTAAATTGTTGTTTATTGTATAATAAGGACCCTGTGTATAATTTAAATTCAATGTGTATCAGTCATTGTCAGTCCTGTTCATCTGATGTTCTTCGTACATATAATGTGTATCTATAATTACTTGTAAACATTTCATAATTGATAGTAAGCATTCTATTATTGGCCGATGACATGATAGACTCTATGGGAGACTAAAAAACTCACTGTTTATTAACTCAGGTCTGTTAGTGTGTGGGTAGGCCGTGAACAGGGGTACCTCTGCTGAGCGAGTCGACCCCCATCTCGCGTTTTAATACCTAATTTGACCTGTGCGTTTGAAGTATACTCCAACATTTGAGATCTACCGGATACTCTGTAGATGGTATGCATCTGGGATTCTATGTCATATATACTGACAACAAAGATTCCTTCAAATTACTATGTTTAATCTGTCACGCCATGACATGACAGATTAACTAGAGTAATGTAAAAGAATCGGGAGTTCCTTACTTTGTTTCAGTGGTATATATAGCATGCCTGTATGTATCAACTGAAAAGCTCGTCGTTTATTGTCAGCTATCACCAGTGGGAAGTGTTCAAAAGTGCGTGGTAGGACTTACAGCCCAGCTTTCAAATGTCGATCTGGAATCCTCTTTTATATTTCACTTTTAGTGAAATAGAACTGCAAATAAACGAAGGACTGAGTGGATACCTGCAGCTAACCTGACATAACAGCAAAACACACAACTTGCCAGTGGTATAAACTTCTCAAAGATTTACGGCTCTATGTATTCTAGGTTACCATATACTAGGCTAGCCATATATTGATGGCTATAAATGGTGCTGTCACATTTACCTGTATGAGGTTTATGGCTACAACTACAGTTGTCATTTTCTGATTCAGATCCCAGACAGAGCCATTCCACGTGTAGAGTTGCGTCTCTTAGTCATGCCGGGACCTGCAGTTCGAGTTCCAATCCAAGTTTCGCCTCGATTATGGCTCTTTGTCAGTATGCATCTCTGTTTAAACCTAACTCACTCGCCGATTTCTATACACATTAACATATGATTCAGAGACCATAAAATAGATCTATTTTATGGCCTCTGGTGTGATTAAGTCACGGTTTCAAAAAAACGTACTTAAATCGCCGCTTTATATATAAATTAAATTCCATTCACAGACACATGGCATTGTGGCGAACAAACATATATCGTCGTGCCATAGTTATTTTCAATTGGGTAAATGTTTGTTTGTTTATCGATTCCGAATGCAGCCATTCAGAATTTCCGCATTTTAGATTAGAGTTATCTTTCCTTTGCTGTGTAACCTCCAAGTTGTGTACAAACCAAGGGATCATGAAGCTTTAAATATATTAAAATAAATATTTATGTGTCTGGTTGTCATTTTTCATTCGCTGTTTGAAAACATAACCATGTACACAAAAATGCAGTAACAAAAAAAGCCTGGTCACCTTATTATTTCTAAAATATGGAACTGATGAGAATAATTTTTTTAAATTTTCTGTGTGGCCTTATCCGCTTATCGTTGATATGGTTTATCACGATAAAGAGAAATCTGTTGAATCACATAGTTACGAAAGCCTGCATTAGCCCATCGATTGACTTGGGAGATAGATATTTCGTTTTGTAAGATCTGCGTGGTGTTATGCTGATTTGATGTACGGAAAAGGTCATTTGAACATGACTCCGTAAGGGCAAATAACATGATTGTGAACAGTCTAAGGCATGTTTAAGACGCTGAGGTCCTGTAAGTCTCAATTCTGATCCTTATTTTATACATCCACACTCGAATTTTCTTTGCGCTCACGGAAAGAGGCAAGGTTGGCCGATTATTTATACTGTCACAAGCCAATTCGCATAACATATGAACGGACGTTGCTTTTTTAATAAAAACCAAACCAAACGTGCTCATACTGAAATCGGATTAGTCAGTGATAATGGATGTCTTTCAATGCTATTTAGATTCCTGCGCTAATATCTTTGATTTGTGAGAGGTTTACTCCATAACTGAAAATACTAATATAAATTAAATTATTTTTTATACTTTTTTTTTATAAAATCTTGTGGGCGGTTATCCAGAATGTTAAGCATGCCCAGTGAAGCCATTTCTGACTTGACAGGTTTCATGCTTTTATCACAAAGTGCACAGTCCACCAATTTCTGTCTTGAAACGGCTGAACCACAAAACCTGCTTTCGTTATCAGAGAATGTGTTGATGCTGTGCATGTGCATGTTGTGTGGTGAGAGTGTGTGTGTGTGTGTGTGTCGGGGGGTGGGGGTGGGGTGGGGTTGGGTGGGCCCCACCCCCACCCCACCCCCCGACACACACACACACTGGGGGATGGAGGTTTATATACTGTATATCCCTTTGGAACCTTATTAAAATACATTTGATGTAATTGATATCGAATATATTATGTTCATGTTGTTTCAAGAGGTGTTCACATTAAGCATGTGGAAATTGGCAGATCTACATATCCTTCACCTGTGATAATGTAGAGATAATGTAGTGAGACATGGTCCTTCAATAAAGGTCAAGGTCATTCGAATAAATTGAACCTGAATAATGTTGTGATGAGGCAGGGTTGAGTGAATGGTTTGTGATGTTCTCCGAATATGGGCATGCTGAGAGCCAAATTTAGCTTGCATTCAGTCATTAGTGACTGAGGGAATGTCAAATCAGAGATAGTTCAGGTTCCAAATAATTGGTTTCCAGAAATATGCAATAAAAACAAACTTTCTTTTTTGTATCTGTTTAGCTAATCCACTAAGTCATTTACTGGGGTTAACAAAGTCAGTAACAAGTGTGTTTCAGCAACAAACAGATATATTAACCATATAAAAACTACTGATACAATATGATTGTGCTTTTCCCAAAATGTTCTAATGATTTGTTAACAGTCCCAAAATAATCACAAAGGTTTAAGGGAGGCACAACAACACAAAATGTTGCTTCAAGCATTCATCTTGTTGGATGTGAACATTCTCTTGATCATGTTGATCACACGGGACAGGAAGGCTCTCATGAAAGACTGGGGCTTCACACGTGTGTCGTCATCTTCACCAAGAAGTATCTCAATGAAATCAGTATCATCCATGATGACCTGACCAGTGATGTTCACTGACACAGATGAGACAGGGTCGGGGAGGGACGTGATGGGTGAGGGCAGGAGGGACAGGGGATGGGGACGGGTCACACAGCGCTGAGAGTAAGAAAGATAAAACAAGAGAAATGTTAAACACCAGTTGATATTTGTTTATTTGTCAAGCGATGAATGAGTTGGTATGTGTGAGATAGGAAATTGGTAAATATGTGTTTGGAAAAGCTAAGGGCGGGTAATGTAAATGTAAGATCATAAGAGAAGAGTGTTTACGAAATGAAAACCTTGTAGACTTTGTGCTCAGTCAATTGCAATGGGACAAATCTAGACAAGATTCGTCAACGTATGCTGCTTGCCAAAAGTGGCGTTTGTACACAAATCTTGACCTCTGTCTAACTTAAAAAACGACTTCAAGCGCTTTTAAAATGTGTACATATACAAGTTTTTAACCCATTGTCACCTACACGACGAGAGACAGGAGTGGTTGGGAGGACGAGAACCTGGGGAAACCTTGTCGCCATCAGATCTATATCAGTGTAACAGTAAAGACGTTTTAAAATAGCGAATGAACAGGCGCCAAACGTGCATCAATAGATTATTTATTCAAAAGCATTTGGGAAGGACAGACACCTTCATTCCTAAAAAGCTTTACATCAACTCGCACGTGCTTTATAGATGAACCACGATACATTATGTGTATAAAGTATTAGCAAATAAACAAACATCTTCATCTTCGTTTGCACCTGTGTTATCCCTACACATCGTCTTGCATGCCAACCAATAAAACAAAAGTTTAGGGAAATGAGCCAGAAAACATCCACAACTTTGTACCTTGAACATAGCTGCTCGTCTGCATACTGACACTCAAAAGCGATGTTCAAACTAGCGCAGATTCAAACCCGAGCGATATATTCAGAAGATAATGCAACAACAATGGCGCCTGTTGACTTCGGAAGTCACTGGTTACGGTCGTCAAGGACGGAAGGGAGACCACTCTCATTTGCGGAGACCTTGGAAAACCGCTTTTATATAAACAGGTATTTTGCGTCTGCAATCACATCATTTATTCAAATAAGAAAACCCCAATGCGATGCGATGCGAGCGCCAAAATAAATGTCTTATGTTGAAACGATATTTAATCAAATATAAAAGTACTGTTTAAAAACGCCGAGCGAAAAACTGTTGCAATTAAGTGCACCCATACGATAGGAGCTTGACGCCTCAGCACACTTCGGTGCAGTGATGACTTATCTTTAACCACATACTGAACACGATCGGCCCTTTCCGCTTAAAAAACCCCCTGAGGTAACTTAACCATTGTAATCCGGAACTATATTAACCTCTCGACCTCGCTAGCACATGACCGTCACGTGATGTCAGTCGATGCCTATTATGAACCCCTTGTCAGATGGAAAGGCCGCAGAAAACTGGTAATATGGTAGTGGTATGTGATAATGAATTGCGATAGATCACAACATAGCATCTTATGTGACAAAAAGGGTCCGTTCTAAATGTGTGCCGATCATGATAACTCATGATGTCCCATCGTGCTTTTACTTTCAGTCACATGTTGGAATAACATTTGTATACAGTTCTTTTGAATATATTTAGGATAAAAACTTGGAAATAAGTAACTAATTATGTATAAGACTAACGAAAATTGAACATTGATAAACAGTTAACGCACAAAAATATGCATCTGCGAGTGTGTTTGGCTGAGGCATAATTTTCGACTCAATCCTCAATAAACGTGGCCTAGGTTTGGTTGTGGGGGCTTATAGGATCTTATTGCACGTAATTTAAACAGTTCTAAATATTATTGCTAAAATATGTTTGAGAAAATGCTATTTATAAATAAGCCATTAACATATAATGACATGGTCTTAATTTCATAACGTCAACATGTCTGAAACATTGCCGATGTGACGTTATATATTTACTCACTCACTCACACTTCAACTAGCAAGTTAACTGGGGGCCAAAAGAAAGTATACGCCAATGATGGATGGTGGCTAAAAATGAAACAAACAAGAAATGGTTATTTGATGGTGATGTATTTGATACGGGTATCATAGTTATGTTTTGGACTCAATCTCATTAAAATCAGATCTAAGTTCTCGCTGCCAGTAAACAAAGCTTAGCGATAGCGAGAACTAAGATCTGATTTTAATGAGATTGGTTTTGGACCTTAAGTTTCGGTGTCCCAGCCTAGTAAGGTTTTGATAACGTTTGTAGTTTTTTGATCAAATCAAATGTTCAAGTGTATACTTTCTTTTGCCCAGCAGTTTCGACCCAGGCAATGAAGGTCGAGCCAGGGGTATGGCTGAAGCATAACCGTCGCGTGCACTATATGAGTACCATTCAATCACGTGTAAATTGTTGTTTATTGTATAATAAGGACCCTGTGTATAATTTAAATTCAATGTGTATCAGTCATTGTCAATCCTGTTCATCTGATGTTCTTCGTACATATAATGTGTATCTATAATTACTTGTAAACATTTTATAATTGATAGTAAGCATTCTATTATTGGCCGATGACATGATAGACTCTATGGGAGACTAAAAAACTCACTGTTTATTAACTCAGGTCTGTTAGTGTGTGGGTAGGCCGTGAACAGGGGTACCTCTGCTGAGCGAGTCGACCCCCATCTCGAGTTTTAATACCTAATTTGACCTGTGCGTTTGAAGTATACTCCAACATTTGAGATCTACCGGATACTCTGTAGATGGTATGCATCTGGGATTCTATGTCATATATACTGACAACAAAGATTCTTTCAAATTACTATGTTTAATCTGTCACGCCATGACATGACAGATTAACTAGAGTAATGTAAAAGAATCGGGAGTTCCTTACTTTGTTTCAGTGGTATATATAGCATGCCTGTATGTATCAACTGAAAAGCTCGTCGTTTATTGTCAGCTATCACCACTGGGAAGTGTTCAAAAGTGCGTGGTAGGACTTACAGCCCAGCTTTCAAATGTCGATCTGGAATCCTCTTTTATATTTCACTTTTAGTGAAATAGAACTGCAAATAAACGAAGGACTGAGTGGATACCTGCAGCTAACCTGACATAACAGCAAAACACACAACTTGCCAGTGGTATAAACTTCTCAAAGATTTATAGCTCTATGTATTCTAGGTTACAATATACTAGGCTAGCCATATATTGATGGCTATAAATGGTGCTGTCACATTTACCTGTATGAGGTTTATGGCTACAACTACAGTTGTCATTTTCTGATTCAGATCCCAGACAGAGCCATTCCACGTGTAGAGTTGCGTCTCTTAGTCATGCCGGGACCTGCAGTTCGAGTTCCAATCCAAGTTTCGCCTCGATTATGGCTCTTTGTCAGTATGCATCTCTGTTTAAACATAACTCACTCGCCGATTTCAATATACATTAACATATGGTATAAAATAGATCTATTTTATGGCCTCTGGTGTGATTAAGTCACGGTTTAAAATAAACGTACTTAAATCGCCGCTTTATATATAAATTAAATTCCATTCACAGACACATGGCATTGTGGCGAACAAACATATATCGTCGTGCCATAGTTATTTTCAATTGGGTAAATGTTTGTTTGTTTATCGATTCCGAATGCAGCCATTCAGAATTTCCGCGTTTTAGAATAGAGTTATCTTTCCTTTGCTGTGTAACCTCCAAGTTGTGTACAAACCAAGGGATCATGAAGCTTTAAATATATTAAAATAAATATTTATGTGTCTGGTTGTCATTTTTCATTCGCTGTTTGAAAACATAACCATGTACACAAAAATGCAGTAACAAAAAAAGCCTGGTCACCTTATTATTTCTAAAATCTGGAAATGATGAGAATCATTTTTTAAAATTTTCTGTGTGGCCTTATCCGCTTATCGTTGATATGGTTTATCACGATAAAGAGAAATCTGTTGAATCAGATAGTTACGAATGCCTGCATTAGCCTATCGATTGACTTGGGAGATAAATATTTCGTTTTGTAAGATCTGCGTGATGTTATGCTGATTTGATGTACGGAAAAGGTCATTTGAACATGACTCCGTAAGGGCAAATAACATGATTGTGAACAGTCTAAGGCATGTTTAAGACGCTGAGGTCCTGTAAGTCTCAATTCTGATCCTTATTTTATACATCCACACTCGAATTTTCTTTGCGCTCACGGAAAGAGGCAAGGTTGGCCGATTATTTATACTGTCACAAGCCAATTCGCATAACATATGAACGGACGTTGCTTTTTTAATAAAAACCAAACCAAACGTGCTCATACTGAAATCGGATTAGTCAGTGATAATGGATGTCTTTCAATGCTATTTAGATTCCTGCGCTAATATCTTTGATTTGTGAGAGGTTTACTCCATAACTGAAAATACTAATATAAATTAAATTATTTTTTATACTTTTTTATAAAATCTTGTGGGCGGTTATCCAGAATGTTAAGCATGCCCAGTGAAGCCATTTCTGACTTGACAGGTTTCATGCTTTTATCACAAAGTGCACAGTCCACCCATTTCTGTCTTGAAACGGCTGAACCACAAAACCTGCCTTATCAGAGAAAAAGGTCAATGCCTGTGTTGATGCTGTGCTGTGCATTGTGTGTGGTGAGAGGTGTGTGTGTGTCTGTGTGTGTGTGTGTGTGTGTCGGGAGGTGGGATGGGGTGGGGTGGAGGGTGGAGGTTTATATACTGTATATCCCTTTGGAACCTTATTAAAATACATGTGATGTAATTGATATCGAATATATTATGTTCATGTTGTTTCAAGAGGTGTTCACCTGTGACAATGTAGAGATAATGTAGTGAGACAGGGTCCTTCAATAAAGGTCAAGGACATTCGAATAAATTGAACCTGAATAATGTTGTGATGAGGCAGGGTTGAGTGAATGGTTTGTGATGTTCTCCGAATATGGGCATGCTGAGAGCCAAATTTAGATTGCCTTAAGTCATTAGTGACTGAGGGAATGTCAAATCAGAGATAGTTCAGGTTCCAAATAATTGGTTTCCAGAAAGATGCAATAAAAACAAACTTTCTTTTTTGTATCTGTTTAGCTAATCCACTAAGCCATTTACTGGGGTTAACAAAGTCAGTAACAAGTGTGTTTCAGCAACAAACAGATATATTAACCATATAAAAACTACTGATACAATATGATTGTGCTTTTCCCAAAATGTTCTAATAATTTGTTAACAGTCCCAAAATAATCACAAAGGTTTAAGGGTGGCACAACGACACAAAATGTTGCTTCAAGCATTCATCTTGTTGGATGTGAACACTCTCTTGATCATGTTGATCACACGGGACAGGAAGGCTCTCAAGAAAGACTGGGGCTTCACGCTTGCATCATCATCTTCACCAAGAAGTATCTCAATGAAATCAGTGTCATCCATGATGACCTGACCAGTGATGTTCACTGACACAGATGAGACAGGGTTGGGGAGGGACGTGATGGGTGAGGGCAGGAGGGACAGGGGACGGGGACGGGTCACACAGCGCTGAGAGTAAGAAAGATAAAACAAGAGAAATGTTAAACACCAGTTTAAAGTTGACATTTGTTTATTTGTCAAGCGATGAATGGGTAAATATGTGTTTGGATATGCTGAGGGCATCTTCAAAAGTAAGAAGATCATAAGAGAAGAGTGTTTAAGAAATGAAAATCTTGTAGACTTTGTGCTCAGTCAATTGCAATGGGACAAATCTAGACAAGATTCGTCAACGTATGCTGCTTGCCAAAAGTGGCGTTTGTACACAAATTTTGACCTCTGTCTAACCTAAAAAACGACTTCAAGCGCTTTTAAAATGTGTACATATACAAGTTTTTAACCCATTGTCACCTACACGACGAGAGACAGGAGTGGTTGGGAGGACGAGAACCTGGGGAAACCTTGTCGCCATCAGATCTATATCAGTGTAACAGTAAAGACGTTTTAAAATAGCGAAAGAACAGGCGCCA